CCCCCCCGGGGTATTAACCTCCTGGTGTCCCCAGGAGGTGTCTCATGGGGTGTCCCATGAGGCCACCAGGGGCCACCTCAGGGTGTCCCTCGGCCATTGGGAGCCACCTCCTGGTGTCCCTGGGCCATTGGGGGCCACCTCAGGGTGTCCCCAGGTCACCTCAGGGTGTCCCTCAGCCATTGGGGGCCACCTCTTGGTGTCCCTAGGCCATTGGGGGCCATCTCCTGGTGTCCCTCAGCCATTGGGGGCCACCTCCTGGTGTCCCTAGGCCACTGGGGGCCACCTCATGGCGGCCCCAGGTCACCTCAGGGTGTCCCTTGGCCATTGGGAGCCACCTCCTGGTGTCCCTGGGCCATTGGGGGCCACCTCAGGGTGTCCCCAGGTCACCTCAGGGTGTCCCTCAGCCATTGGGGGCCACCTCTTGGTGTCCCTAGGCCATTGGGGGCCATCTCCTGGTGTCCCTCAGCCATTGGGGGCCACCTCCTGGTGTCCCTAGGCCACTGGGGGCCACCTCATGGCGGCCCCAGGTCACCTCAGGGTGTCCCTTGGCCATTGGGAGCCACCTCCTGGTGTCCCTAGGCCACTGGGGGCCACCTCATGGCGGCCCCAGGTCACCTCAGAGTGTCCCTCGGCCATTGGGGGCCCCCTCCTGGTGTCCCTGGGCCATTGGGGGCCACCTCCTGGTCTCCCTGGGTCACCTCAGGGTGTCCCTCAGCCATTGGGGGCCACCTCCTGGTGTCTCTTGGCCATTGGGGGCCACCTCATGGTGTCCCTGGGTCACCTCAGGGTGTCCCTTGGCCATTGGGGGCCATCTCCTGGTGTCCCTGGGCCACCTCAGGGTGTCCCTTGGCCATTGGGGGCCATCTCCTGGTGTCCCTGGGCCATTGGGGGCCACCTCATGGTGTCCCCGGGCCACCTCAGGGTGTCCCTCAGCCATTGGGGACCACCTCCTGGAGTCCCTGGGCCATTGGGGGCCATCTCCTGGTGTCCCTGGGCCATCGGGGGCCACCTCAGGATGTCCCCACATCACCTCAGTGTGTCCCTCAGCCATTGAGGGCCACCTCTTGGTGTCCCTTGGTCATTGGGGGCCACCTCCTGGTGTCCCTGGGCCACCTCAGAGTATCCCTGGGGCCACTGGGGGCCACCTTCTAGTGTCCCTCAGCCATCGGAGGCCACCTCACGTTGTTCCTGGGCCACCTCCCGGTGTCCCTTGGCCATTGGGGGCCACCTCAAAGTGTCACTGGGTGCCCCCTTTGGGTGGCCCCCCAAAAAGTGTCCCAAGTCCACTAGGGTGACCAAGGGAATGTCTCAAGGCCACCAGGTGCCACCTCAGGGTATCCCAAGGCCATCGGGTGACTCCAGGAGGTGTCCCAAGGCCACCATGGGCCCCTAGAACATGTTCCAGGGCCACCAGGTACCTCCTCAGGATGCCACCTTTGGGTCTCCCAAGACTATCGAGGGCCCTGGGATATGTCCTAAGGGCTACCAGGTGCCACATTCTGGTGTCCCAAGGCCACCGGGTGCCCCCAGGAAATGCCCCAGGGCCACCAGGTGCCACCTTGGGGTCTCTAAGCATCACTGAGGACCCTTAGAAGGTGTCCCAAGGCCACCAGGTGCCTCCTCAGGATGTCCCAAGGCCACCAGGCACACCCAGATGTCCCAAGGGCACCAAAGGCCCTTAGAACATGTCCCAGGACCAGTGGGTGCCACCTCGAGGTGTCCCAAGGCCACCAAGTGCCCCTACAAGGTGTCCCAAGGCCACCAGGTGCCCCCAGAAGATGTCCCAGGGCCACCAGGTGCCACCTTGGGGTCTCTCAACATCACTGAGGACACTCAGAAGGTGTCCCAAGGCCACCGGGTGCCTCTTAAAGCCACCAGACACACCCAGGAGATGTCCCAAGGCCACCAAAGGCCCTTAGAACATGTCCCAGGACCACTGGGTGCCACCTCAAGGTGTCCCAAGGCCATCAGGTGCCTCAAGGAGGTGTCCCAGGGCCACCAAAGGCCATTAGAACATGTCCCAAGGCCACTAGGTGCTACCAGGAGATGTCCAAGGGCCACCAGGTGCCTCTTCAGGATACCACCTTCGGATCTCCCAAGACCACCATGGGCCCTGGGACATGTCCTAGGGGCCACCAGATGCCACACTGAGATGTCCAAATGCCACCAAGTGCCCCTATAAGGTGTCTCAAGGCCACCAGGTGCCCCGAGGAGATATCCCAGGGCCACCAGTTGCCCCCAGAAGATGCCCCAGGGCCACCAGGTGCCACCTTGGGGTCTTTAAGCATCACTGAGGACCCTTAGAAGGTGTCCCAAGGCCACCAGGCACACCCAGGAGGTGTCCCAAGGCCACCAAAGGCCCTTAGAACATGTCCCAGGACCAGTGGGTGCCACCTCGAGGTGTCCCAAGGCCACCAGGTGCCCCTACAAGGCGTCTCAAGGCCACCAGATGCCCCGAGGAGGTGTCCCAGGGCCACCAGGTGCCACCTTGTGGTCTCTCAATATCACTGAGGACCCTTAGAAGGTGTCCCAAGGCCACCAGGTGCCTCTTAAGGCCACCAGACACACCCAGAAGATATCCCAAGGCCACCAAAGGGCCCTAGAACATGTCCCAGGACCACTGGGTGCCATCTCAAGGTGTCCCAAGGCCACCAAAGGCCCTTAGAACATGTCCCAAGGCCACCAGGTGCCACCAGGAGATGTCCCAGGGCCACCAAAGGCCCTTAGAACATGTCCCAAGGCCACCAGGAGGTGTCCCAGGGCCACGTTGGTTGCCCCCAACCCGCTGGCGCATGCCCCCCATGGTGCTCACCAGGAAGAGGTACTGCAGGCCGTAGATGATGGAGTTTATCGTCAGGACGGGCTTCCAGTCCTCTCTGGGGACAAGCCAGGCATCAGGGGACACTGGGGCCACCACAGAGGTGGCCATGGCCACCCCAGGGTGACCACAGCCATTCCAGGGTGACCACCGCCGTAACCCCATGCCCAATATCGAGATGCGTGGGGCAACTGTTTGCCCCCTTGTCCCACCCTGCCGGGGGTACAGGGGCAGACAGGGACACTGATCCGGCTGTGGCCACCCCAGATGTGGTTGTGGCCACCCTGGAGGTGGCAGTGGCCGCTTTGGGTGTTACGGTGGCCCACCTGAGGATGTTGAGGCAGACGTTGCCCTCCAGGTCGATGTTGGGGTGATAAACCATCGTCTCGCACTTCACCTTCGGCGGGTCGTGGGGGTAGCCCTGGCCGACCTGGGGAGTGGCCACAGTGTCACAGCTCGCCCCACCACCACCTCTTGGTGGCCACCAGCTCCTACCCCAACCCACAGTGCGGCCACCTGGTTTCTCGTCACATCTTGGTGACCACTGGTCTCATAGTGGTGGCCAACAGCCTCTGGACGCTGTCCCCAATTCACAGTGGGGACACGCTTGTCATGTCTTGGTGGCCACCAGTCATGTCTTGGTGGCCACCAGCCCCTACCCCAACCCACAGCGCGGCCACCTGGTTTCTAGTCACGTCTTGATGGCCACTGGTCTCATAGTGGTGGCCAACAACCCCTGGACGCTGTCCCCAATTCACAGTGGGGATATGCTTGTCATGTCTTGGTGGCCACCAATCATGTCTTGGTGGCCACCAGCCCCTACCCCAACCCACAGTGTGGCCACCTGGTTTCTAGTCACATCTTGGGGACCCCTGGT